AAAATAAACACATATTTACAACTGTTTTTATGCATTCAAGTTTATTTTATATTCTTGCTTAACTCTTTTGTCCAAAATATTTTTCAAATCAAGCTTTTACAGCATTCTTCTCCCATGCCAGCCACGGCGCCGGCGTTGGAGAACATTTATTCGTCGATTTAAACATTTGACTCAACAACCACCAAATTTTGTGTCCCTTTAAATAGGCATTGACACGCGGCGCTACTATATTTTCAATCTTCTCACTAATTTCATTTTGATTGCTATTAATGTAATTGGGAATGATTGTTTCTATCTGATCGTTGATGAGCTGATTCAATTTCCCATCACCCAATAGACCGCCAATGTTAGAGTTCACGCCACCTAGAGTGACCTTCGCCTCGAACTTATAAATCTTAATGGAGCCCCAAAGGAATGGCATCTTATACTTGAATTGTCCTTGAATGGAGAGATCTTTCAGTGCAAACTCTAATGGGCCTGAACCCAGGTAACCCACTGATAAGCCCAGTTGATTTAGCAGATCAATGAATGTATCTGTATTGTAGTTATAAGCAGTGGCCTTCAGCTCCCGGAAGACAAAGTGGTATTTAACTTTTTTCTTGAAAGTATAGCTAACTTTCATTGTCTTAATGTCCATGCGATCCAAGCCATCCACACGTAAACGAATTAACTGGAGTAAAGATCTTTCGTTTTGGAAGAAATAAATAAAGAAAGTTTTATTTTAGAGCGAAGTTCAAAATACGAACGTTGGGCACTCACTCGACCACAGAATTGCTAGCTTTCAAATTCAATTCCGCATTAGTGTAGGGAGCTAGCGGAGGAACGCCAAGATCAGGCCAACCGCAGGGCATTTGTTCCATAAAGTTCCTGACGGCCTTTTTGGCCTGCGAGTTTAGAATCAAGCCACGACTTTGGTCTGTTTAACAATGAGTAAGTAAAAAAAGTAATTGTTGTGTAAGTATTACTGTTTCACGATATATTTATAACATTTGAACTTTTTTTTTTCAAAACAAAAAGAGTATTTTAAAAGAAATTCAACTTTTTACTCACCGCCCTCCAAAGATATATCCCAATCCGTCTCATCGTCCACATCTTCTTCGACCAAATTTGCGGCAGTTGAAGCCAAAAGGCCGAACAAGAAGAGGAAAACTACGCGCATTCTAAATCTTTTCTACACCAGAATATTATATTGGAATGGCTGCGACGCCGCTTTATATACTGTTCAGGTTCGAAAAGATCATAAAATAATACTCAAAAAACAACAGTAGTATATTCGCTGGTGGCTTTTATTATTTTAATGCATGTTAAGATTATTTATAATACACTGCGGAGCATAACTATAGACATTCATTAACTCAAACGACCAAATCTATTTTTTTAAAACCTTCGAATAACAAAGTGCAACCAAAACTGATGTATTGTGGAACGATTTTCCGTCATCCCTTATGAATTTTGGTTTGGAGACAAACCGGTTTAGGTATTGTGCCATCTTCAGTGTCACTTTTCGTTCGTGCCGAAGATAACATCGAAATTCGCGAAATAATTCAGAGATTGGCGCGATTAGACAAATTAGTGCGAGGGTTTTGAAAGCATTTTCTAACGAATTGAAATTCATTGAGGTTCTGTTCACTGCTCGATGTTTTTAAGTTATAATTTGTTGATGATTTTCGACTTTTAGCATTATTTAATAAAGGAATAATGTGCGCCTATTGAGTTAATGAATGTCAAAGGCCGTTAACCCGGCGCTACCGATTTTTTCCCTAAATGCGTCTATATTTATGCTCCTCAGTGTAGAAACACTTGATTAATACAGGCCATTTTTTCAAAGGATTGCAAATTTGATTAAGCATATCATTATGATTGATTAGTAGCATATACCTAAATACAAGTACCTAAGTCGTAAACCCGCTGTAATATTTAGCACCTCGTTACTGACGTTGTACGTAGCACATACCTAACTCACTGTTTACACGACGATGAAAACTTCTTCAATATTGTCTGATTATAAAAATGCAATGAGATGGCTATCGAAAAGGAAAATAAACTTAAGAATGCGGATTGATGGTTAACGAATCGTTTATATAAATACTTACGTATACTACTTAACAGTGTTGTGAAAAATGCATTAACGGTACATTAAAGCATTAACGATGGTGTAAAAATTAATGCAGTAATTTTGGAAACTTAATGCAAATAAAAATTTCAGTGCTTTAATTTTGATAAAATTTCAATGCACTAATTATGAAAAATATTCTAATTAAATTGGTTTTGATTAAATTACCCAAACTAATGCTAAAGAAAAATTTTAATGTATTAAAGTCTTTAAGTTTTTTATTTATAAGTTGTCTGATAACAGTTATTTCTCTTTTCGTCAATATTCTTATATTTATTACAACGTTTATCAGACAACGTAAAAAAAAACGTTGCGCAATAACTGTTATCAAACAACGGTAAAAATAAAAAGCAACAACAAAGAAAAAATTTATTTTCTTTATTCTGTAAATCAAAATTTTAAATTCTCTTTTTACGGAATGTACATACTATTACACTCGCAAACATAGTTGACCGCGAAAATAAGTTTACGCGTCCTTCTTCGCCGTCAAATATTTTAACGCGTCTTTCTTCGCCGTCAACTATGTTAAGAGTCTTTCTACGCTGAAGTTTTTTTAATGCGCCTTTCTTCGCGGTCAACTTTTGAGCTCGCGCCTTTATATATGTCTAGTGACTTAATGCACTTTCAGCTTTTTTGGTTGATTTATCAATTGATAATCTAGAACCGAGTTATATTCGATCACTATTACCACTATTCGGACTCAGTTAAGAAAAAATTAATCTCAATTTTAACCGTAATATTTGCAAAGATTTTTGTTGTAGATGGATTTGAGTTCGGAGGTTTGCCAAAACTTCTTAATATTTTGAAATAACGTTCCGACTTCAATTTAAGAATTTAACTTTAAGAATGCATTCGCATGTAAATAAATATGTTTGTATGTACATATATATTTAGGTAAACTAAGGGCCATTTTTCCAGTCATTAGTTAACCCTTTCAGGACTAAAACCCTATTTAAAAAGAAAAAATTGGAATGCTGCTTTAAAGTTATCTTTCATATTGTTTCCTTAAAAAAAATATTTTAAGACTAAAAATATTTCTTTTAAATTGTGTGAAAATCTGTAGACAAAAATGAGGCAATTTCATAATTTTTTCTAAAAAAAATTCCTTAAAAATAGTCTTTTGCACTTTTTTTTAATTTTGGTAAAAAATTATTTTTTCCGAAAAAGACTATTTTTTTTCCAGGTACAAGATTCCTCTCAAACAATATTTTAAATTAAATTAAAATCATTGTTTTAGGAAAAAAAATATTTTTTGTTCTAAAAAAATGTCTCCTTACAAAAAATCCCAATTAATTAAAAAACATTTTTTTCACTTATAAGTTGGGTAATATGTTTTTTCCTAACAAAATATATATTGCTTGTTTCTTTAAATTTTTTTCTCAAATCCTCAAAACTCCTATTTTTTTTTAAAGAAAGTCATTTTTCTCAACATAAAGTTATATTTTACCAAAATAAATATTTTTCTACAAAAATAATGTTTTCCCAAAAAAATTATTATTATTATTTTTTATTTCTGGCAAATTTTTTCTAATTTTTGTGAGAATAATTAATCTCATGAAAATCATTTTGTCTATAAAAGTTTGTTAATATTTTGATAATTATTGAAATTTAATGCTAAAAGGTAGATATTTTTCTTAAAATCCCTAAGAAAATATAAAAAACAAGTAATTTTTATGCAAACAACAAAACCAACTTCAATTCCCATATACAAATTTAAGATTATTGTTAATTTCTTAAAGATCCAATGACTGGATCTTAACCGAATTATTATGGGACCACCTTTGAGGTAACACCTTTCCTTAAAAAAAAAAAAGAATTATAGTGGTCCAAAGTTATGCGGTAACATACAAAAAAAAAATATTCCCACGAATTGATAATCTTCTCCTTTTTTTAAAAATCGTTTAAAAAACAAATTGGCGAAAATATTTTTTGTTCCAATTTTTGGTATTATTGTTTATAAATATTTTTTCTAAAACTTTATAATAAAATTATAAAAACGTAAAAAACAAAACCGTTAAAATTCATACGATATTCCTATAAGTGCAGAATTTTTTTGGGAAACGTGTTTTCTTTGATCCTGAAAGAGTTAACTAATACAAAATCAGCGGTTTTAAACTATTGGTTAACTAATGGATGTGCACTAGCTAACTACAGTAAAGCATTAGTCATACTGTGAAAATGGTCTTAGAGAACTCGCTTTGCTGTAGTGTGCTAAGAACCACCTGCTGCACATTTTCGACGTTACACTAATCTTGATTGCATGCACAATTGAGAGATGTCATATATCAAAGCACATACATATATTATAAAATTATATTTGATTTTTATAAACTCGATTGATAACAATGCACCTGTTGCAAACGGCTTAAAAGAATATGCGGAATTAGTAATTTATGGAATAATATAAAAGTTAATACTTGCGTCTGCTGAGGACATAATCTTGAAATATACGGCCAGATTTGAAATGTTTTTAAAACAGAAAAACTTTATATCCAAAAATTAAATAATTCACGATTTTTCGAGGCTTGGGATTTTTGGCTTTCCTACGATTCTTTTGCGAGACTTTTCGCTATTTCTTATCGGAACTTTTCAGAATTCTCTTTGCTATATACCAGACATGTCGAGTATTTTCGAGAATTATCTAGTTCAAAGGTACATCTATGTAAGTATGTACATATATCTTAATTGTGCTTTTTATGAAAAGCTAAAAAGTCATAAGCAACAATTGTCAGCGACTTTCTAGTGAAGAAATAAAATGTCAATTTTGCCTTTGGATTTATCTTAAAAAACGGGAACTTGATGGATAGAAAACAAAAAAAAAAAAAAATGTTTTTATAAACAGTAACTCTTTTAACTGAAACTTATAAACCTGCCAAGACTTGGCATCAAAGTCACAGAGAGATGTGCGGAGTGGTATTCTTATTTAAACCAATGCATGGAATTGTCAGTTTTGATGTGCCCTCAAGCCCTTCAAAGTATTTCAAAGCAAGTTGACTAAGCCCCTGCAATTCAAACCTCGGATGGCATTACGCCGTTGGTTTTATATATATCTTGACTTTAATAAACATTCAAACCTCAAAGATACCTCAATTGCGCTGTTTATTATAAAAAGGAAATTGCTGCAGCATTTCGGTGCAGATCAGTCCAGACTGTTGCTGCTTCGTGCATTGTTCTCTTGGACTTATATTCGTGCCGGTATAGTACCCTTACTGGCATCGCACAGTGGTTCGGCAGATCTAGCTGGACGAAAGTCAAAATTTTTTTGTTTTTAAAATACTCAATGGTACTTGAAATACATTCCTCACAATACATGCAAATAGAAATTGCATTTATTAAAGCATTAACATATGAAAACAAACAAAAAAAGGTAAGTCAACGCCGACTATGTGAGAACTATATTTTAAAAGCTGAGGGGTTGTGTGTTAAAACAGAAAAATACTTGGAGTTATAAAAACTTTGGTTATGTAAGAGTTAAAAAAAATAGTAACTCGCGAATTTTCTGCTTTCTGAAATAGGCATGCAAATCTTTAGGCGCTGTTATAAATTTTTTTCTGAAATTTATTTGTGTTTCTTGCTGTGATCTTAAATTTTAGTCGTGGTAAATAAAATCTTAAAAAGTGAGTTGTTTGACATTTGGAGAAGTGTTGCTGAAACTTCTAAAAGACAACAAGGTGTCCGTGATTATGTGATTAGTAAATTTAAAAGAAATATCTGATGAAAATTCTCGTTCCGAAGTAAATTAAGTAAATGACTTTAGATTCGTAATCAGCAACCCAGAAAACCCCCAGATACCCAGTTACATAGAAATCTACAGATTTTTTTAAGTTTTAGTCCGCCATATTGGATCCGCCATTTTGAATTTTTGGTAAATGACTTTAGATTCGTAATCAGCAACCCAGAAAACCCCCAGATACCCAGTTACATAGAAATCTAGCGATTTTTTTTTTTTTTCGTCCGCCATATTGGATCCGCCATTTTGAATTTTTGATAAGCGACTTCAGATTCGTAATCAGCGACCCAAAAATCCCCTAGGTAAGAAGTGGTGTAAAGATCCATCAACGAGTATTTGTTTAAATAGTTTCGTCCAGCTAGATTTGCGATCCGAACCACTGTGCATCGTCGGTCCGCTGGAATTACGAGCGCTGTCGGACTGAAGATCCTACCAACTGTGAGTTTTATAAAACGCTTTCAAATTTTGATGATAATTGATATTGAGCATATACATAAGTACTTACATATTTTAAGTTTATAATTAATGTACGGGTAATAATTTCTATAGACTAAATAAATCAAATAAAATTAAACAGTTTTTTTTTGTTTTTTATAAGAGCAACAAAGGTCCATATTTTCCTAGTTTGTTTTGCTTTTCATTATAAAATGCATTCTCAGAACAATTACCCAACAAATTTCTGATACAATCTTGATGAAATATGATATTGTTGCTTATGTTTGAGGTCTGATATTTTTGCAATGCGCAGTTATAAATCTTTTTGCCACAATTTACAGCTAAGGCTCTCGTTAAGATGGTCTGCGAGATTTGGTTAACATATTTTTATATAGAACAAAGACAAACATACATATCGCACATCTATATAGATCTAAACTGAGCTAACTCAAAATTAAGAGAGGGAAATTTAACGGCTTGTGGGTCGTACAGATTTAACGCAATTAATAAAAAAATAGGTATAACAGTAGTTTTTTTTAGTTAATGTGTATAATCATGAAGAAAAATATATTTCCATTAATTGGATGCGAGTCCTATGAATTGAAAAAAAAAAAAAAAATCGCCCAAAATATTTTTTTTTTAGTTGATCGCACTTTAGATCTAGGTGTGCGATATGTACATACATTAATTAAATTATTGGCATCTACTGGTTTCAACAAAAAATGTTGCCTTCTCATCGCCCTCCTCTTCTTAGTGTTTGTTGCGTAGAGGGCAAAGAGATTATTGCATTTTTCGGTAGAAACGAAATCAGCATATGAAAAAATATGAAATTCGTTTATCAACGTGACAAAAACGTGCCTGTTAGCCTTATTATTTTGTTAAAATAAACTATGAATAATTTATAGTTTCTAGATTTAGGTAAATGGCAGATTATATATTATCAACATACATTATCAGTATGATCAGCACGTGAATGTTACCAATTGTATTTGTTATAAAAATATACTACAAATAATTTATAATTACTTGCAAAGCTGCGAATTAAGAAAACTATAAAATAAAACCACAAATTATAATGCTTGAAATTAATTTAGATCGATGCATAAAGTTTGTTAGTAATCTACGTGTGTTGTTGCCATGATCGCATACTGGAGTGGATTGAAATGATTGAGCTGCAGCATAAATCATTGACTTGTTATTTTTTGACTCTTATAGATGTCTGATTATTTGACAAAAAAAAAAAAAAAAAACACGAAAACGTATTTGTGAGTCCTCCTGAACTAGTTGGACCAGTCGATCCTCGGTTTTTTTTTTTGCTTCAAAGGGGCTTATTAAGTATTAGCGTGGGCCGAGAATCCGCTTTTTTTTTAGAATTTTGATTGGTAATAGCACGTATATGGTTCATTATGCTCTAAAAAAATCTGTGTGAGAGCTGAAAAGTTTTGGCGGATATTTTCAAAAATATCGCTTTCCGATATATCGATATGGCGAAATTGAAAAAAATCATCGTATCGATTATATTGGTTCTGAATTATCGATGTATAGCACTTAAAAAACATTTCCAATTTCGCAGCAATAATTAAGAATCCTTGTTTAATAATAGTTAAAAGAAAAGAAGAAAAACTTACAGGATTATTTATTTTACATATAATTTTTCTGGTAACCAGGTGATATCTGATATACATATTTAGTTTAAAAGGTGTCACTCACACAATTCGACGAAATTTTTGCTTTGATCAGCTACAACTCAGCGAGTTTATAAATGTAAAATTTTTCAAAATTTCAGTGATAGCATAAAAAAAATTTTATGTTTTCAAAACCCTGGTAGCGACGCCAATTTTTTTTTTTTCATTTTAATTTTTCGTGGATGCTCTAATTTTGTACGTGGAAAATTTCAATTTTGACATTTGTCGCCGCAAATCCCAAGTCCCTTTTCCTTCTACTTTCAGAGCCACATCCACCTGTCAAATGACCCGTTCCGAAACTAGAAAGTCTGAGGTGCATCATAGGGCTCAGTCGCGAACGGCGGGCCTTCCGATATCGAGCAACCTCCAGAGACAATCAACCACCCCCTATCGGATAATTTCCCGGGCGAACAAACCACTTTTAGCGCCCTCCGCGACAGCACCTCTAACCCAACTAGAGTTGTATCACTGAGCTCTTTTCTTCTTCTTATTTGGCGCTGTAACCGCCTAAGTGATTTTCGCCTAGTTCAACAAAGCACGCCAGTCGTTTCTCTTTTGTGCCAACTGACACCAATTGGAAATGCCAAGTGAAGCCAAGTCCCTCGGCACTTGGTCTTTCCATCGCTTTGGGAGCCTACCTCGTCCTCTGCTTCCACCAACGGGTTCCGAGTTGTATACTTTCACAGGTGGAGCGTCATGGCCAGCGGAGCCGCTATATTTTAATTCGCTGGACTTCGTGCAGGTGCTAGAGTACATTCTTTCGATTTCGAATCGTTTGAAAAGTCGCCGGCCAATAAACGCCAACTACTGGGGAATGCTTCAGTAACGGCACTAAAAAAACCAAAACGGCCGCAATCGTAGACCTTTATAGATTGAATTAAAGTAGAGCACATGATATCAGAACTACCGATGGAAGTGGGGTCCATTCTGCATTGACAAAAATAGTGATACCAGTGAAACAAGGCAACTCAAATCCATGCTTATCGTTTACAGATCCTTTCTATTTACAGGGGTACGTAAACGGTTCATGACGATGATAGATCTGTAGATCTGCGATCTATAAAGAAGACTAAATCTACCAAGGATCCCGAGGTTCACCATAACGACTCATGAAGAGAGATTGGATACCTTCAGACTCGGCGGTTATTTTAGGCATCCGACAAGAGTTTAACGCCGGCGCATGTATGTACGCACAATCCATGATTCAATAATTAAAGGTTTGCTCATTAGTCACATTCGAGTTTTGACACTCCCTTAGCTCCCTTACAAAAGCTTTGCACACACACACACACGAACCCACACACAGTGCCTTGCTAAGGGAGCTGATTTTGTCAAGAGGGAGTGAGAAAACTGTTTTTTGAGCAATCCTTTTATTATTGAATCATGCGCACAATCGACATGAAGTGAAAAGCAACAAAATAGATAACTAAAACTTCGGGAAGATCAAGGTCTACAAAACGAAAACTTAAACTTAAGTCAAATTAGCGACAATTCCCACAGTAGATTGTAGAGGTTGTAAGGGAATCCTCAAAACCCCGTTAGCTTCGTAAGCTAATTTACGCAGTAAAACAAGTAAAAATGTTGAAGCAAACGTCAAATTAAGCACAGTTAAACCCTTCCCACTTCAATTCAACTATGCTCATATTTCAATCTATATTTTATACTTATACAAATGGTTTACTAGATAAGAGAATCTTACACTTGTATTGATATAGAATAATACTTATTAGGTGAGCTTTTTCCATAAATCATTAACAAGTGGTCACCTTGACGTATACAAAGTTATGATTTCATTGGCCAATGTTTTATGGCTGATAATGCGATAATTTTTAGCACAGATATTTGGTTGATTCTATAAAAACCCAACGCCACTGCCGAATATAAGGCAGTTAAGCAACTGTTAGTAGCACAAATAGTTAGCACTTAATCTTATTTATAATGAAGACAACACTCGTTCTTTTAGCCATTGTGGGCCTGGCGACAGCTGCGCAAGTTCCTGATGCATTCGGTAAGTGTATGGGTAAGGGTAAATCTGTAGCACAAATCAGCTGTGATGATGGTTATGCATAAGAAAAAAAGTCGGATTTGACGTATCAGATTCGTATAGGGACAAATGTATAGACATGTTTAGATAATAACTCCACTGGGGTTCTAACATGTGCTGCATTTGTTTTCGAAAACCTAAACTTATCTAAGCTCATTTGAAAAAGTTTAGTGGTAATCAGAAACTTAACAAATCTTTTACAGGGCTAACAAATTCAACTTTTCTGTAATGTAATGCTACCAGACAAAATTTAGTTCCGAAAATATTCCTATTAACGAATTTACTTTTTTTCTTTCATCTATCAGCTGATCGTTCCCTCTCGAGCTCAGCCGTCGAAGCTATCGAAGGTATTCGTGATCAGATGCCATGCGGTTTTCCCGGTGTCGGCATTCCACCACTCGCTCCCCTCAAGATCCCATACAAAGAGGTTAACATCGACACTGAGGCTCTACAATTGCAAGGTGTTGTGGAAAACTTTCGCTTGAATGGCTTAAACGATTTCGATATCGAGGAGATGAAGATCAACGCGATCACTAGCAAAGTCACCTTCCGCTTCCTCTTCCGCAATGTGAATGTCGATACACAATACGATTTGCGTTTGTTCTTGAAGAAGGCCGGTTTCACTATCAACTTGGTGGGCAATGGTCCAGCTAAATTCGCTATTAAAGAACTGGACATCAGTGGCGTCGTCAAATACTCCTTGGGCGTTTTGAGCGGCAAATTGAAGTTGAAAACGTTGAGCATTCGCACGCATATCGGTGATGTGGAATCTGATATTCAGGGTGTTCTGGGTGAGGCCGGCATCAATCAGCAGTTTAACGGAGCCTTGGCTGAGTTGTTGCAAGTTGGCGTGAATGAGAATGAAGACGAGATTGCTGATACCATCGAGTCGATTGCTTTGCCAAAAGTGAACAGCGTTTTGTCGGAAATGACTCTAACCGATTTGGTTAGTTTGGTGACTGGCAATGGTGAAGAGAGGGAGGAATGCATTCCACCATCATATTAATTGATTGAATCCAATGGTTTTGGATTGGATCTTTGTTGCTAAGCTAAGACGTATTTTTGAGAATGGAATAAAATGTGCATTTCGGACAAAAATATTGCAATAGACGATATATAAATAGTAAAGGGGGACGATACAAGTTTTTTTTTTGTGGAACTTTACAGAAGTGAGCAGTGAATCGCTGGACAAGTAAAAGTAGTATTTAGTTCAGCGAAATGTTGAAGGATTTAAGTTGAGTAGGGTGAGAGAAAATGATTTTTACGTTTTAATTTTTTTTATAAAAATTCTAATAACACCCCGATCGGTTCTAAGTAAAGTAATCAATTCAGACGTAAGGAAAATCTCATATAAAATTAGTGAAGAAATGATTTAAAAGACACTTACTGATTAACCACTTAATGCTATAAAAGTATGTTATGGTACCCTGCTCGATTGATTTAGGACTCCTAATTAACATAAATGTGCATATCTCATAAATATTTGTAAGAATATATGCTGAGTTTTGTAGTGGTTTCTGTGGGCCGTAGGCTTTTTCACAGCTAAAACTTTATCTGCAATAGTATGCTTTCCATTTTTAAGTTAAGTAGAAAGCTTTAAGCGTTTAACACTTTTTTCACTGAGAGAAAAAGCTTATTTATGGTAAGTAAAATTAACCTGCCTAATCATAAAGACAAGTTCTCTTCTCTTGCTCTGGAACTTTACCGGTGTGCTGACGATCAGAGTGACCAGGTTAGCCTTTTCGAGGCTAGATTTAGCATTTAATTTTATGCTATAGCCTCAGAAATTTAGATCTGACTTCGTGGTTTTTTCTGGCATTTTTTTTTTATTTTTATTAAAATCTTCATAATAAAATTCGAACTGCAACTATAACAAGTCATTTTTAAGGAAAGAACACAACCGACTTCAATTCTCATATAAAAATTAAGGAGTACCGTTAATTTTTTCATGATCCAATGTTCGGACCTAAACCAAATTAGTATGGGACCACCTGTGAGACACTACCTTTCCGATAGAAAAATTATCGAAACCGGTTGACGTTTGGACCACGTCTGCGGTATCATACATAAAAGAAAAAAAAAAAATACGATGAAACTGACAGTTGAGTAGACTGTGCGTGTTTGCATAGAGACCGTCAGATTGACAACCCTTGCGTCGACGGACCCAACGAACGTTGGCCAACACTCAACTTTTGACGCACGTAAGTCTGTCACTGCTGACAGTTGTATAACTCTGCGTTTACACAAGGCATGACAATTGAGAATATGTATTAATTGTCACATTGTTTGAGTAAAGTAGGCGTCCAGACAATAAACTGTCCTCGAAAAGTCAAAGACAGTGACGAATACATCAAGAGAAGTGGGAATATATTAGTAAAAAAAGTGTGACTATTTTGCTATTGTATCTTCAAAATTGACTTGTGTAAACCCCAAGTACGCGGCCATAAGGAACAACTGATTTTTGTTTGCAGACGCAATACCTTCATTGCGGCGTATCTCTGCGTTACGTACGCCACTTCCTTCGCATACTTTTCCGTTATTGACGTACAAGTGCCCATTCTGACGGGCCCATCAAGACTTAAATGTGCCAGTTTAAGGAACTTTACTTTCAAGAGAACCCTTATGATGAAGGGATCAAAATTGCTATACCGAGGACATATAGACATGGGTATTATTCTTCATACGAGTCCAAAGTATAAGTAAAACACTGAGGGTCATTCTACATAAAATCCTGCAATGAGACTGATTGTGAATGTCACAGAAGGCACTAGTGGATTGTCCGTGGCTTTCGGTTAGCGTGAGATTACTGGCGAGGGCCAGTGGATGCTGGATGGATCGTTCCTAGTGCCTCTCGTGTGATGGTGCACAGTAACGGTGAACTATAGCAATGCTACATACATTTCTTAATCTATAATTTTATCGTACTGCTGTCCTACGTATGCGTTAGCTCTTTCGCGCCATGATACAACAGTCGTTTTCATTGCTAACCACGAAGGCTTTACCACCGACTTCCACTGAATACTTAAAGCGGATTCATCGTTCGCGTGCGGACAGCTTTTTGTTTGCTCTCAAGAACTTTGCTGTCGTTCTAGTGGCTACAATAATCCCGCCCAAACCGGCTAGTCCTTCAATCGTTGTCGTCAAGCTCAACTAACGGGAGACCCAAGAAGCGTGCAGCCTCTATAGGGTCCGTCCATAGCCACAGAGGCGTTAGTTGAGTGGAGTTTAGTGGGCATGCGATGATATGTTTCGAAGCATGGGGAGTCTCTCCTCATGCCGGGCACTCATCATCATCAGGAACGAGTTCAACCTGCTGCAGAGCGAAGTTTGGCTATTGTGGTCCGAGTTTCCCGAGGCAGCTCTTTCTCCTCCACGTCAGGTGGATGTGTGCCCAGAAGGGCATTCACAGGTCTGGAGTCTACGTACCTTGCGACCGACTCCCTGTGAATAGCGCTCATGGCCTGTAGATATGCCGTCGGGTTCAGAGGTTGCTTTGTGAACCTCTGAACTTCGTCCGTCAGTTCGTATAGATAGATGCCTTCAGACGTGCCTTGGCGAGGGCCCACCGGCGAACTGTCAGAAACGACGTCGTTACGAAGTCGTTTGACAAATTGGGTACATACAAACATATCGCTAAAATTACGTCACACGAATAGCTGATTCTGTCAAATTCGCCAAGAACATAGTAGCGGTACTGCAGTCTCCCTACATCGTGTCGCGAAACATATCGAGGCTGGAACAATCGCATTTGCCATGGAGAGTGAGAATTTAGAGACTACATACTGAGTATTTTGAAATCAAAGAGAAAATCTCTTTTAATCCAGTTTCTAAGCACATAACATTCCAACAAAAAGTCGCTATGTACCTACTTCTATGGAAAATACGCTGTATCGCACGAGTTTCACGTGATAACCCATAAAAATTACACTAATTAAGGTTATCTGCATATGATAAACGTGCAGACTTTTATGACCTTAGTATGAAAAAATATAATGCTATTAATAGCTAAATCGAGCCAATAATTACACCGTGCGACAGTCAATTCAACACATAAAAATCAATATTCATATGTACTCGCGAAACTGGGGACACAAATATAGTAAGTCAAAGTGGGAGTTTAGCTTTTCTCTCTGGCGTCGGAATTTTTTAAGTTCTTTTAAATTTCAACGTTATGATTAATTCAAAAAATATTTAGAAAATTATTCAAAACTGATTTTTTGCGCAAAAGGACAAATAGATATTTAAAATATTCTTTAAAACTTTATGCTTTAATATCTCTTAACATTCATTTTCAAAATTTTCAATCACCCTCATTGCGAGAGTGGTGTCGCATGCAAGTCGTTTTTCGAGAGTCGAATCGTATTGCAAATTGCACGTCATTGCCTAAAATTTCCATTCGATTAGTGTATTAAAACGGAAAAACTTGGCAGCACTGTATAGTTTTCGACGATTTTCGTCATTTACTTATTTCAGCACGACAGTAAACAATGCCAATGTTGTCGAGTCGTACAATTTACCCTAATTTACGACTTACGCATTGAGGCTGAATATTTATTTTTGAAAAACTTAAATGTTAAGTACAATATATGTATAACCGCATCGTCGAATTTTGTGTTTTAACTTGATTTGTTTAGGATAAAAAAAAATTAAAAAGGCATTTTCAATACTTATTCGTTCTTGAAAACCAGAAAAAAAATAGTTTTTTTTTTTTTTTTAATTCTACAGAATTTCCTGTTCGATGTGGAATGAATTTTTAGAATCAATAATTTTTTTTGAAATTTCGAAAGCCCAGTCCATTAGAGATTGAGAAAAACTAAAAACGCAGTATTACTATAGTTTCGTGAGTCAGTACATTGAATGTTTCCTGAGTTTTGAAATTTTTTGCTTTTTGTTGCATTGTGTTACACAAGGCTCTCGAAAAGAATACATGAGTTGAATACATAGGTAAATGTATACGTATACGTACTCGTATTTGCATGCCCCTTATCAGCTCCTTTTTACCCACATTTAAGTTAATGATTAACAGAATTAGCCAATGAACAAACGGCATTTTTATTTTTTATTTCAAATAGTAATGATGAAAATCCGTTTATTAAAAGTTTGCGGCCTATATAATCAAGTCACTACTTACAAAGGCTGTTCAGTTTCCTTAAACAATTCGAGGTAAACGTGTTAAATCGAAAGTGTTATTCAAAATGAAATTCCTGCTCTTAGTTATGTTGGCGTTAGTGGCCATGACCAACAGTTACGAGTTTCAGGAGCGTTTAGATGGTAAGTGTATCAAAAAAACACAAAAAAATCAACACAATGTATGTGAGTGACGGAGACTCGAATTTCGTTCAAATAGGAAGTTATGCGGATGTGTGAAAATTTGAGTGAAAGACGGAAGGAAGTCAGGATTTTGATAAATAATTCCGTTGATATTTTTTGCAAAAAGTAAATTATGATTTTCAATTATTCAAACTAGTTCATGATAGAAAATTGCACAAAGTAGTAAGCAAAAAAGGATATGGTGCAGAAGCGAAAACCACTTTGTTAAGAAGGTGAAAAAACATTGCTATTGGCTGACACTTAACATGAAATGCCCACATGCATTCTCCTTGTGCAAATCAAACTAGTTTCTTCGTGTGGAAGTTATGCTTCCGTTAACTAAGCAGACACGTTAGCATGCCTCAAACCTTAAATGGCTTATCCGAAAGGATAAGATAGGATAGAAGGCATAGAACTGTGACTTTTGAGTTTTTTTTTTTTGATGCCCTGGGCACGTCACTTATTGCCAGTTTGAGGACCAGAGTCCGACCGAGGCTAGATTTTTCGGCCGAAGCCGGTGATTCACTTTAAAATTAATTAAATCGATTTTTTCAAAGAATAAGCTCCATATTGCCTTTTTAAGTGTGCATAAAATTCAAAATACATAGAACCGTATTTATCTCTTATGTATTAACAAAAAAAATGCACAATTTATTAAAATAATTGTAGTCACAGTTCAGTTTCTGGGCAAAGTCATTGTTATGTATAGCTGTTATGAGCTGTAATTTGTGGTGTGCGTCTTGATGTTGTAACACAAATTGAGGGACCCACAGTTTTATGCAACTACCGAAAGCTAAATGGTATTTATTAGAAACTTTTTCATTGCAGAAACACACTCGCAGGTTTGCC